TCCAACCGCAATGAAAAAAATAAAGTTAAAACAGAGGCTTTGAAAGTAGTTTAGTACCGATTGTGCGTTATAACCTTAATGATAAATTAAATAAAACCGAAACGCATCCAATAATCATTTTTTAACCTGAAAACCCAAATTAAATGTAGGAAATGATTGTGTTTCATAATTTGAGAAAAATAAAACGACCGAATTAATATTCGTCCGGTTATTAACGAAACAGAACGAAAACGGAATTAGTTTGAAAACTTAGAACCTTACTAGATCACTAACTTTAAGTAATATCTATCTTACTAATTGTGCGTTGACGTGTTAACGAACTGTAATAAACTGAGTTTAAAAAAAAAAGTTAACGCAAACGCTTTCGAAAATAAGAGTGAGTTTAATTGATCTTATATAAATCAAATGATATATTTACCTATACATATATCAAGTAAGTAAATGTGACTGTAGCCAAAAGAACATATTATTACCATATAAACATAAAACTTCACTGTCATTAAAATTTCAATCTTTAGCTATTCGAATGTTGTAGTTTCTAATTTGAACACTTTTTCAGTTCGTTCCAGTTATTTCCTAAAATAGCATCACACACACTCTCTCTCAATTACTGTAGAATAAGCACAGAACACACACTTTCTTTCCATCCAAACTATACTTTTGTTACTACTATATTCTTAAAATAATGTCTCTTATCCTATGTTTAAATAACCACATAATTTTGGATATACATAAATAAATCGAATTAGAGCAACTAATATCGAATTATCGAATTCTACTATAACCAAATAGAAAACCTGACGTTGGGCAATACAAATTAATGTAAAGTAAATTAAGGTAAAGGAAGAAAAGGAAAGTAAAGTAAAGGAAAGGAAGGAAGAAAATGTTTTGTGGCAAATTTTTACAAATAATTATTTACCTTGTTAATTGTTCCAACCGCAATGAAAAAATAAAGGTAAAATAGGGGCTTTAAAAGAAGTATAGTACTATTTGTGCGTTATACCCTTAATGCTAAAATATTATGAATTTATTAAATAAACATGAAACGCTTCCAATAATAAAGTTTTAACCTCAAAACCTAAATTAAATATTGTTACCGAATTTTAATTTAATGTGGCCAAACATTGAGTTTTACGGAAAAGAAAACAACTGATGTAATATTCGTCCGGTTACTAACGAAGGAAAACGGAATTAATTCGAAAAGTAAGAATCTTACAGCATCACTAACTTTAAGTAATATCTATCTTACTGATTGTGCGTTGACGTGTTAACGAACTATAACTTTAAGTAATATCTATCTTACTAATTGTGCGTTGACGTGTTAACGAATTGTAACAAACTGAGTTTAAGAAAAAAACTAACGCAAACGCTTTCGAAAATAAAAGTAAGTTTAATTGATCTTATATGAATCAAATTACATATTTACCTATACATATATCAAGTAGGTAAATGTGACTGTAGCAAAAAAACATATTATTATCATATAAACATAAAGTATGTTATTTTGCATAAATTAAAGCAACCGTACTAGAAATATGAAAACCAATGAAAAGATTGTTCTTCAATTAATTAAAATATTAATTGAATTAAATGTAAGATTTATTAGATATTATAATTTTAAAGTAATTTCGAAGAACTATAATTCTACCTATACTTAATTACACAGACATTTGCTTTAACTAAGAGATATTAACTAAATTCATATTAAAAAGAACATTAAAAATTGGAACTGTACTGGTGACATCTTCTATTACAAAAGGTGTTTCAAAATTATTCCTTATCACATTTATTGTATAAATCAACCTTTCTAATGCTGCAATTAAAGTAATATGTTAAATTATATAACAAATATATATCGTACTTAAAAATATACAGATTGTGGTTAATAATTTTAAGAACAAAATGTTTTAAGAAAAAACGTAAATTGAATTTGGCCAAACATTGAGTATTTAGGAAAATAAAACGACCAAATTAGTATTCGTCCGGTTGCTAACGAAAGAAAACGGAAATAGTTCGAAAAGTTAGAACCTTACTGCATCACTAACTTTAAGTAATATCTATCTTACTAATTGTGCGTTGACGTGTTAACGAATTGTAACAAACTGAGTTTAAGAAAAAAAACTAACGCAAACGCTTTCGAAAATGAATATAAGTTTAATTAATCTTATATGAATCAAATTGTATATTTACCCGTACATATATCAAATCAGTAAATGTGACTGTAGCAAAAAACGTATGAACATATAAACATAAAATATGTTATTTGGCATAAATTAGAGCAACCGTACTAGTAATTCAAGTAATATGACCGTATGAAACTAATCAAAAGATTATCCTTCAATTAATTAAAATAATATATATATATATATATATATTAAAGTAATATAATTAAATTAAATACAAATATGTATATGTTCAATATTTTTAATTAATTAATATTAAATATATAATTAAATTAAATATATAAGATTTATTAGATATTACAATATTAAAGAAAACTTGAAAACTACAAATCTACCGATACTTAATTACAGAGACATTCGCTTTAACTAACAGAAATTAATAAACACATATTAAAAAAAATATTAAAAATTGCAACCGTACTGAAGAATTCATCTATTACAAAACGTGTTTCAAAATTATGCCTACTCACATTTATATACATACATATTTCTAACGCAACAATTAAAGTTATATGTTAAATCATATAACAAATATATCATACTTAAAAATATACAGACATTCAAAAAACAAATTGACGCAGCATTTCGATGCGGCTTATGAGTATCGAGTCGAGAAGCCCCATGAAAAATTTTACATAAAGCAGTGCCCGATCAATTTAATCTGGAATATGGTCGAATACTGTAAAAGTGGAAATGAATATAAGAAAACTAGTGAAAAATATCCACAATAAATCAAAGAAGGAGGAATAAACTGATATAATAATTATTTTGTCTTGTTTCAACAGTACGATAATTGTGCATGGTTTTGATTGTGGGCCGCCCAAAAATCATGACGCCAGAGATGTTGCAGGCGTGTCGCCAACCGTTGAGCACGGACACCGGCTACCTCACTCACCAGACGAGAAGCAAAACTATTAGACAGTTTTACTTCACGCCGATCTTCTGCGAGGCAGTAATACCGCCCCGGTTGATCTGACCGTTTGTGTAGCATTAGCTGTTACGTAAGTTGGCGTTGCTCTAATTGAGCCAATGTCAATTGGAGAAGTAATAAAAGAACAATTTAATCGACTCAAATTCTATTGCTGTGCAAAACAAAACCCTGATTTTAACTCTTATAAGTACATTTTGAAGTAATTAAACTAAAAATAAAGTGGAAACTGTTTATAAAAATAAGAACCTCGAGACTGTACGCCTAAATAATCTTGTTTAAATTCAATAATTATAATTAATTAGTTGAAAAATTTCGTATAAAAAAAACATAATAATAAATATAAGAAAGAATGTAATAAATAATATAAGAATACTACTTAATACTTGAAATACTGCAATAAAAAATCGTAGAGGTCTTAAGTGATGATAATAATACATTCAATGTTTTAACGATGCAATAAACCTATTTATAACCTAACAAACTTCAGCAAAAAGCTAACTATGCTTAGAAGTTGGATTAAATTTGTCAATTAACATGTTACTATTGTATAAAGTAATATCTTTTAATAAACCCCTTTTTTGTAACATCGGACATAATATATTTTTATTAAATTGGAATCTATTTTAACAATTAAATGGATAAACATCTATAATATATAACGCGCACATAAATAGAGAATCTATACGCATAAGCAAATTGAAATTTCAATAGTCGACGTTTAATCTTTGCCCGATGGGGCTCCAGACCCATCTTGGAAATGGTAGTGAACCTGAAACAACAAACATGTAAATTGTGCTTGTATTGTTTTTTTTTTAATTATAATATATTATTACTAAAAAAAAAACTATTTATAATTATTCTATTCGCTCGCCGGATACTACATTCACCGGTAGAAGCGCAAATGCTGTTAACAATCGTGTCGATTGACTGATACTTTATTATACAGTATTTATTATTTTTGAATAAATAGCGGTACATATAATACATATAGTATATATAATATATACATGTATGACGACCTGAATGGCGTGGCGTGTACCTGCCTCCTGCGTCAGAGGGTGTGGGTTCGATCCTCACTACTGGAAAAATATTTTGTGATGAACATAGTGTTTTTCTAGTGTCTGGGTGTTTATATATGTATAATATGTATTTATTTACAAAAGAAAAGAATATTTAAGTATGTTTATCAGTTATCAGTTACCCATAGTACAAGCATTGCTTAGTTTGGGACTAGAAAACTTTGTGTGAAAAATTTGTCCTAATATAATATATTCTCATATTCTCATGTAATTATGTGTATTTAAAACTTTATTTATAATTATTTCATTTATGTTGATGTATATTTATGTATTAGTGACATATATCTAAAGTATTTATTTTCGCCGTAATTTTTGTGAATGACATTTAAAATCTTTAATGCCACTAGCATAACTACCCGTAACTTGCTCTAAACCACCAAAGGCTTACTAACATGTGAGAAAGTGCCATACGAGCTGGCGGTTCACCTGATCTTAAGTGAACACCGTCGCCCATGGACATCCGCTACACCCGAGGTATCTCATCCTGTAGGGCTGCAAAGGCGTTGCCACCGTTAAATAAAGTGGGCCCCGGCTACCTCACTCACCAGACGAAACGCAGAAGTGTAACGCTTCTACTTTACGCCGGCCTTCTGTGAGGTCGTGGTACTTGCAGGTCCGTCCCTGCCCGATCGCGGAACAGTGAACACTGTTGCGTGGAACAGTCCCACCGCATTACGTGGTCCTACCACAGTATACAGTAAACTTTTGGTACAATAAAGAATTTTCAATCAACCGATCGATCCTTCGTTCTTGGTACTTACCAGCTCGGAGCGGCACAGAGGAATACTCCCGTGGTGGCTAACTTACCTGGAGGTGAGCAACCAGATCCATGACGATGTGCACCAGCGCCGGGTGGCCAAGCAGCTCTTCGGGGAGGCTCGGCGACGAGCGCGGCAGGTGGGACTTGTTGCGGAAGTTGCGGTGCAGCCGCAGGGCCACCTCGCAGAATAGATAGCGCAGCACCAGTAGACGCAAAAAGTCATCCGCCATGAACGCAAGGAACGCCGGGTCTGTAACATTTGGGGGCTTCAATTTCCTACTGGCGTGTAATACACAAATTGTACATTACTAAATATTTTAAAAATGATGTGGTGTCGTGGGACACCAGGTAGGAACCCACACCCGAACACCGAAGTTCCTTCGGCTAATGTAGAATCGACACAAATTGCAAAAAAAATAGTGCTCAATTTTATGTAGGTTTTCTTGATTTTTCTCTTAAATTTTGCTGATTAGTTTTTATTTAAATAATATACAAGAATAATATACAAGAAAGTATTAAGGAAATTCAGTATTTTAGGAAATAATAAATTACTTAAAATAAAAAAAAAACATCGTAATTCAAATTATCAACTAAAATAACAAAATTATACACTACTCGCTTGAGTATGCGACTGTCGCGCCTGCGCACGTCTCATTTAACGGTTTTATTCCACGCACTTTTTTCCACGGATGTTTTCTTACGGTTTTACTATCACATTTTTTTCAGTTTGGTCGCGCAGCAAAATCCCTATCCCCGCCAAGCCTGCCGTAAGGAACTTCGTTCCAATATATATTTTTTAGGACACATTTCTTTTTACACAGCGTTCTCTAGTCCCAAACAAAGCTAAGCAATGCTTGTACTATGGGTACTAGAAAACTGTTAGACATACTTAAAAATACTTTTCTTTTGTAAATAAGTACACATTATACATATGTAAACGCACAGACACTAAGAAAACACTATGCTCATCACACATTCGGGTCGTTACTCGAGTTAAACTTCATTAGCAGTAGCTGTTGAATCCCGAAAGTAAGTGGCTCTGGCCCATACTCGAGGTGCGATTACATCATCACTAGATAGTATAAACAAGGTCGCCCCGCTGTCTGTCTGTCCCTATGTATACTTAGATCTTTAGATTTACGCAACGGATCTTGATGCGGTTTTTTTTACTAGATAGAGTGATTCAAGAGGAAGGTTTATATGTATACTAAGGTTTATAAGTTAATAGGTATACATTGCACCCGTGCGAAGCGGGGTCGGGCCGCTAGTTTGCCATAAACACTAACATCACCCTAAAACAATCTGAAAATTAAAAAAATAGCGGCTTATTTTGCCACACTAGTCCCTCAAGTTCTGGCTGTTCTGGAATCAAATTTTTATGTGACATTTAGGTAATTTTTTTTTCCGTGGCGCTGTTGCCAAGGTATTGGCTTCAGTGTTTGGGCTCCTGGTTTCGATTCCCACAACCATTTGTGTGACCCACAGATAGTTGTAACTTGTGTCATTTAGACAGATAGTTGTAACTTACCACACATGATAATGTTGTCCTAAAGCAAGGGAAATGTATTTAAATAAAAAAAAAAACAAAAAAAAAATAGTGCTTATATACTTACCGACCCGATGTCTCGTCATAATCTGGGATGCCTCTATGAGGAAGGCTTCGACGTAGGCTTGGGCGCGCTCCCACTGAATTAGTGACGTGGTCTTAATGTCACAGCAGTAGCAGAAAGCAGACAACGGCGAATGGAGGAAAAGTGTGAACAGACTGCCCTCCTTCCTGTGGTCTCCTGTTTAATATAGGAAACATATTACAACTAATGTCAATAGTAAACAATTGATGTCGATTTTATTATGCGTTAAATGTCCTTGATGTTAAATTGGCCTAAATTGGTACGTTTTTTACGTTTCCGCACCCAGAGGTAAAAACGGAGCCTACTACTGAGACTCGTGAACCGTGATAGACAGTTGAAATTTTCATAGATTATGTATTTCTGTTGCCGCTATAACAACAAATATAAGAAAACAGAATAAAAACAGAACAAACAAAACAGATATGACTTTTTTGGCGTTTTAGTAACGTTTTTGAGCCCACCGTGCGTGAGTCGACTTAATAAATTGGTTAACCAGCCAAATGCTGGTTAACCAATTTATTAAGTGACTATTGCTGCTCATACTGCTTGAATTGAATTTTTAATCGTAATACCGCTTAGGGCCGGTTTCAATATTCTGTAGATTTGATTACGGGAGATAGAAGTTTGACGTACGTATTATGGGGCTAATGTCAAATAGATATATATAGTAACCAATCGTTAATCTTTTGTTTACGTCTTTTTGACGTCCGTACAGCAGGCATCCAAGAAAAGCGGAATTCCTCGGCAATGCTCCCGCATTCAGGATCTACCACGCACGCGACTGCTTTGTACGATAAAGGGGTTCTATTCATGGTGAGACACGGTCTCATTTAATTATAAATGATAATTTTACGCATTATATTAAACTAGCTGTTCGGCCGCCTGTGCGGCCAAAATGAATTAACAATGAGTTTTTTAATATACACCAGAATATCTGGCAGATGGCTGAATTTTTTCCTACTTAATTGACACTTATCATTACCTATATTTTGGTCAATTTACACAATATCTTTATAAATTAATATTATTGTAAAGTTTCATTAAAATTTATTCAGTAGTTTTTGCGTGAAAGAGTAACAAACATCTATCCCTACATACTAACTTTCACGTTTATAATATTAGTAAGGATTAGTAAGGATTTGTTCCCGCACATGAATGTTTTTAAAAAAAAAAACGTATTACACTTATTGTTTCGGCCGGTTCACCATCTCAAAGGTTAAGAAGTGTAAAGTATCAGTAAATACACTTAATTTAGCTAGCGTCCTATTCACCATGCCACACGTGTATATATTTTAGACAACGTGTAATTCATTTAAAGCCTCATATTAAACACTTAGTTGTTGATTTTGTAAGAGACCCTAGCCGCTATCTGTACAAAGAAGACGATGATGATGATGGTAACTTACGAACGTGTTAATTTCTTGTAAAATTTTGACGTTTCATAAGAACGGCGCAAGCGTCTATGTGAATAAAGATATTTTATTATTATTATTATTATTAGACATCGCGCTATTATTCAGAACTTACTCGGGAATAAGCTTGGGAGATCGAGCGGTGACATAAGCACCACCAGCGGCTGTCCGAAGTGGCGCGGTATGTTCTGGAACACGAACGAGTTGTCGGAGTCCACGATGACGAAAAGCGGCGATCTGGTGAACGGGCACAGGTCGCCGGGGTAGATGCATTGCGGCTCCTTAATCTTCGGCTGGTTTGTCTTCCGCTCGCGGGAGTGTTCCCTGTCCCGTTCTCGTTCCCTGTCCCTCTCTTTTTCGCGCTCCCTCTCCCTATACAAGTCGGACTTGACGTTGGTGGCGAGGCCGCCAACGTCGTAACCGCCTGCAAAGAAAACAACTATTAACACCAGGCTCAAACTGTATCGACAAAACTTAAAACTAATTATACTTATTATGAAACTAATAGCCAATGAACAACTCGTTAAAAAAATCACTCACTAGAAGCACTTAGAATATAAACAAGATGATATCCATCGCCTAATTATTATGTTACGACCCTAAAGGTGTTCTTTTTTGGCTGGATCAACCACTGTTGGCCGTAGCGGCGTTTACAGATCCACCGGGCTTGAGGTGGCCGGGCGCTGTGGGCGCCTAGCCTGTACCTCGATTTATGGGTGACTAAGCTCGAGGGCTCCCGAAAGAGCCTCAGCTTGGGCTGCCACGCTATTATTCTCACCGGTTTGGGAGGCCACTAAGCTCTTTGGGCGCTTTTGACTCCAGTCACTAGGCTTAAGGGCTCCCGAGAGGGGAACTCGGCTTGGGCTGTCACTCAATACCGGTTTAGCATTCCGATTCGAGGGTGCCCAAGAGGGCTGGACCTCGGGTTGATCGGTAACTATAGTCTGACTGGGAGAATTTCTAAAGCTATCATTACTACCACTTGGGAAAACATTGGCGCTCAGAGAAGAAGTGGCGGGAGAAACTCCAGCAACGCTTCTATCATTAACGGGGGAAAACCTGCCAGGTACGTGGCAGAACCTAATATATGTTTGCCGCACTCGCCGACGAGTAGATTGTGATCGGGTGTGTTTGCGTAATTATTTTGTCCGGTCGATGGCGATAGTCGTCTTATCGTCAGGGAAATCGAGGACGCGTCGTGGTTGCGCTATTTGCGAAGGAACGTACCTAGCGGTAGGTATCTGTAGATGACGGCACCTTTTTTTCGTGGGAAAAATACTTTATGGATCCCCTGCCACTGGATCGGGGGACTGGCAGGGGTATGTGGGAGTCCCGGTGAGAAACGGGTACCCACTAAAAAAATCCACGTAGCAGCTGTCTCTGTCGCATCGGGGACACGGGAACACGTGGGTACATGACGGCACTTGCGACTAACGGATTGGGATGCGCGGTGGGGGACTTGAAGTAGCGTGCGACGCCGACTTCAGGAATTGAGCGATGGTTGGCAGCTCTAAATCTACATGCTCTGGTAACTCTGCGCAAAAATCGATTCTAGATGACATGAAGCGGGGTATTTGCCTCGGCGCTTGATAGGGCGACCTACAGCCTAAAGTCACCTTGTCCCAAAGGGACATGTTTGAAGTTTTATTTATAAGGGGATACAGGCGACCTAGTACGAGTACGTGCGGGCCGAATTTGAGCTTAGAATCAAGGATGACACCTAAGTATTTGAATTTATTTACCCATGGAACCGGACTATCCATGAGTTTAACGGGTGACCATTAAGGTGATTTTTAAAAGCAGTCAAAATAGTATCGATAGTATAACAAGTGTACAATATTGCTTAGACGTAGCATAAACGGGATTTCCCGTAGTAAAAAATTCAACAAAGACAGAAAAGTGTTCTTTATTATAGACCGTCCGCCCAACACAAAACACAATTCATGCGCTCTGTAATAAACAGCCAGCAGCGGTTTTTTTAACAACTAGTTTCGTGCACGCGTCCAAAGCGCTACTCTTTAATTAGAGCGTCAGCTTTATAAAGCTTTGCAAAGCAATGCAGAGTGGGGATCGGCATCCGTTTAGACCATATCGAAAGTTGGGTCCCGCATTCGAATAGAAGACAGAAAGCGAATGATTAGTCGTCTTTTTAACCAGCAACCCAATACGCCGAGTTTTATTCACCGTTGGAGGTTATTTACACTGCTCGAGCTAGTGTCTTGGGAAAAGGTGCCAACGGGGTATAACCTGACGATATAGAACTACCGCCGTCCCTGGTTTTATGCAACGCTCGTGGAGTTGCATTGCTGTTTCTAAATTTCCAAACATAACGCCCTTCGCCATTCGGTCTTTAGTAAAGCAGCGTTCCTTCCGCAACTAGCCTACTCATACAGACATCCAATATCATAACTATTAAGTGGACTGGGATTATTAGATAATATGTATGTGATTTTAGATTATTTAATTTTAATATGTATGATTATTTAATTGTAATTTTTGATGATTTAATGTTGTAAATGTCGGATATATAAATTCATTATGGTCATCAAAAAAATAGCATAACATATAGCATGGCTCTGAATCCTTTAAAATTTGAAGAAAATGTTACACAAACTACTTCGGTATTTAAGAAAAATGTCATGTTACACAAATTAGTTCGGTATTATAAAAAAATCTAAATGCCGGAACATAAAACTACGAGTAGTGCAGTAATACTACGATCATTTGTTTGTTGCATCCCAATTTCTTAATGCTGCTGGTTTTATAAGGCGCTTGCTGATTATTCAATAGATTTTTTATTATGCTTTATGAATCAATGTATTTATTCGCAACATAACATAAGTAGGTCTCGCGGTGTAGCAAAAAAATAAAAAAGGCACAAGTGGTAAATAAATTCTATAGCTAAAACATCGCCAGCTCAGTTTGATAAACCATTGCTCAAAGCTCAAAGATCAAAGCAGTTGTAACCGCGAAAGCGCCGCGCTACAGGTTTCGTTTAATGCTTATATTTCGGTTTTTAGAGATTTCTGCTATATTCTATTTAGAATATTCATCCTGGCTTTTCTTGACGGATCATAGTACCATTGCAAATAGGCAATATAAAACGGAACGTTTGATTACGTGACATACGCTTTCGACCCCTAACCAAAACCCCTGTGTGTGTTTCGTAGGTTTATATAGATTTAAAAGTAAGTATTTTCAACTTTCGTACAAAAATCTGCTTGCTGGCTGACATTGCGCAAATAAATAGCAGATGCGGATTTGACACGTGGCACGAATTGGCGCGTTCAATACATATATATATATATATATATATATATGTGTATGTATGTATGTATGTGTTATATATGTATATATAAAAAGTGTTTTATAAAGTATTCGCACTCGTGGTCATTACATTATTCATAGCTTATCTAACAGGGTGTATAAGTAGGCGGGCATCAAATGGACGCTGTGGTCGTTTAACATAGGCAGCACCAAAACTACTTGTTTGTGTGAAAGTAGTATAAAAAATTGTATTTACTACAACAACTACTTGGGTGAAACCCAAAGTCATCAGCAGAGTAGCTAATTTTTGATTCTACACAAGGCAATCGCTCAGCAACTTACTTTTTTAGTACTATTCGCAAACGCGTGTGTTTGATGTAACTTATAACTGAGGTGATATGATGAATGTTTTTACCTTCTTCTGTATGTTTCGAAGTTGGCACGATAAGGGAGTCGGCGGAGATGTAAAAGAGCAGGGCTCCATTCGGTGGCAGGTCGTAGCAACCACTGGCCAGATACACCAGGATTTGCGCTGCAGATGGCTTGTAGAGCAGGTACTTGTGAGGGTTCTCGCGACGCCCACCATGCTCCGGGATGTACCCTAAAGCAATCGAGTTCATCTTCATTGAATCTTTATATTCCGTACGAAAATACATAAAGCTACTCGAAACTATGCTGTAATAGGTCCGCACCAGGAGCATATTTAAGCAAGGCAATACATTACATTGTAAATATTAATCGCTAAGAATCGAATAGTTTGTAAAATAATACACGAAATTCATACATAGTTGTTATTGTAAAAATCTCATAAGTGCGCGACAAATTCGCGAAGCACCGCCCCGCCTCAAAATTCAAATCGCAGATTGCAAAGACTGGCAAACATAACAAATAAATTATGTATTTTTAGTATTTTTATCTCACTAACGAGACGAAACGCGAAAGTATTATACTTCCACTTTACGCCGGTCTTCTGTGAGGGCGTGGTACTTACCCGGACGATCCTGCCCATTCGTGCAACAGCCGAGACTACTGCGTGGCCCTACCACCAGTAGGTTAGCAATTGTGGTAAGAGTGTGATTTTTACGAATTCACTTTGATGAAATAAAGATCGACGATTGGATATTTTGCGGAAATGAAATTTTGCTCTTCTTTTCTATCAGGCGCCGAAAACTCTGTAGATGACAAAGGTTACCTTTACTCTTCTGTATAGATGAAAAGCGCGGCCGCGGTGATTCATTGTAAATATGCGGCATCTCGCCGGTAGGTTCCCACTCCACGGCTTGCAAGAGTCTAAACATGTCTATTGTCAGTTCGGAGAACTTTACTTGATGTGTGATGCTGCCTACTATTACCGCTTCCAGCAACGTAATGGATGTCGCCGTGAGTCTTTCCGGTGGTGGTATGGTGAGGATATTCAGCCTGGGGGGGTATTATTATAATTTTTGTGACGGTATAATAAATGAAACTAATTTATGGATTTTACTGCGTTTGCAGTTCAAGTTAAATCCGTAAACTAGTTTCATTTAATATTATATTCGCGTAAAATCAAGAAGTCAATAATATGACGGTACCTGTGCGAGAGTATTATCGGGTAGTTTTCCGGATGGAGTACGGTCACGACGGACTCGGCTACGATGAAAGCCTTCACTTCATCCATGACGACCGTCCACTCAATCTGGTCGTCGGGATCGTATGCGTTGCCATACGCAATGATCTGCCTGTCCAGTTCCTTAATCAGGTCCTGAACGAGATTCAGCTTCTTAAGAAGCAGGCACACCACTATGTAGCGGGCGTAATAGCGAAGCTTCTTGACCATTAGTTCGCACTTGTCTTCTTTGCAAGCCTGAGTGTAGTAGCTACGACCGCGAATTGCCGAGTAGAATGCGAACGCCTCTATGAGATATCCAGTCTCACTCGTGCGCAGGCTGCAAAGTAACGGAACACCTTTCAACGTGTATACATCTACTTAGGTCGTAAGCACCTCATTAAATGGCAACTTTATATACTAAGCTTAACGTGATACTGATATTTAGCATTTAAACAACAGCCACGGGAATGGTCAATCGGTTAAAATAATGTAAAAAAAAAAAATAGCTAAAATAATTGGAAGGAACAAAATGACTGTTATGTATAAATTGTTACGTAAATCCAGTTCTTACTAAAAGTGGTAGTAGAGTTGTCCTATTTTAGAAGCAATTTCTCCAATCTGCCATCGCTTTAATCCGTACTTGGTGTCAAGGATGTTCCGGTGCTGCTGTTGAAACTTCCACAATTTTGTATATATGTCAAAAGTTCGGCCGAAATACGACTGCCACTGTCTGTGTCCGTACTGCGGTAGTTCTCTACAAAAATATCATTAACGGTTAGAGAAATATGGTTCAAGTAGATTTAATTGTACCTTAATTATTCAACATGTTGTAGGTTTATCGGACTAGAAATGATTTTTTCACGAAATGGTGTTACAATAATAAATAATAATTTGTACACAAGAAGATTAACCAAATTTAGTGAGCGATATTGATCAGTAATATTAACTATATCATAACGGCGGGGTTCGCGTTTTCCTAGTTGGAAATCATTTAAACAAGATCGAGGATGCTCACCTCAAGCTGTTGAACAGCTGCTTCGATTTCTCTAATAGGTGGCAAAACTCTATAATGATTTTTCGCTCGTGTTCTTCCACGGCGTTCATTTTCGTTGGTTGTGCTAGACCGGTATCGGGCGGGCACTCTGTGTAATCTTCGAAAATTGTTTGCCTCGGTGGGTACCGTCTGAAGCAATCGCTGTCCTCTGATAGTGATTCCCAATCAACTGTCCGTCGGTGCGAACAGTAAGTGGGGTCGTAGAGTGAGAGAGGTGACGGGTACAGTGGATGAATTCTAACACTGTCGAGTGATAGGCTTCTGGGTCGAGTATAATCACATGATGAGGAAGGGCCCGGTTTACTAATGTCAGGGCTGTACTCTAAACTGCTGTATATTCTGCTAGGGCTACGTCTTGGAGCTTCGGAAGCACAACGCTGACGTAACTTGAGTGTCCGCTGCCGTGTACGTCCTTGACGGCGCTCAGCTGGGATACAAGGCTCCTGCTTCGATGTGCCCGCTTGAGCCTGTGTGTTAGCCCCCTCAGGCAAACTTGTGTGTGTGGGTATTGGATTATTACTTAGACACGATTTCGGAATCCTACAGATCTTTCTCGGCGGCTCTGGCGATTCGCAGATTTTTGGTCGCTTATAGCACGTTAAGCATAGAAGACAATTGCACCTGCATTTTCTAATGATGCTACAAGGACTTGTTATGCAGTGCGGAAGCACCGCAATTATTTGATGTCGCTGCGGCCAGTCACTTCTAGGGTGGTCAATACACGACGGTGATGGAGTTGGAGACGGACCGGAAAATGGGAGGGTAGTCGACTGTACTAAAAGAAAAAGATGAAAAGTGTAGTTATTATACACAATCGGAACACTGAGCCCGCCCTCTATGATCTTGTCTCCGATTATTGCTGGGAGCTCGTCGGCGAACGGTGAACTACATTCTAGCGATTTATTATGTCTCTATTATGGCGTAAGGGGAATACCGCTGGCGTGAATGCAGCTTGTAAAATTGACAGTTATCAAGCAATGCGAAATGATTGGTAAATTAAAATGTTAAAAAATACTAATTAACAAATCCGTAATAGTCATTTTAGCCCTAGTAGTCAAACATGAGCGTTACTCAAAAACTAAGAAACCAAATGCAACTGAGTGAACAAATTATCAGCAACATTACCGTGAGTTTTTGATTTCGATTTGTACAGAGTATTTTCCAAAAATGTGTATACACGGTAGAGTCATGAGTTATTTCAAATCACAAAATACTTTTGAAACAATTATTAGACGTATTAGTTAAATTTTGGAAGAATTAATTTTGGCTTTAGCGTTAATACAATTGTTTGGAAGAATTCATTTTAGTTTCAGCGCTAGTATAATTGCTAACTGTGGCTTATCGGAACTCAATTGCAAAATCCTATGCACATTAAACATATACATATAAAATATTGTTCTCATTTACAATGATGTAAAGTAAGTCTATAAAATATACATACCTACTATGTAAACATACTATAAACATTATTACATTCATTTTTTAAATGAATACGTTGGCATATAATATATAAAAATAATATTAACTTTGATTATTTTATAGCAAATTCATATAGATATATGATTATTAATCATGATATAAACTATACAAAATCAATAAATAGAATATTTTGTCACAAAAATAACTCTCACATTTAGTGTTATACATAATACAAAAATAAACGAATTTATGTTTTCATTCATACAAGAACCATTGATGGCAAGAGTAACATTTTTCGACCCCGTCATTTTTTTTCAAATGAAATGCTATTTATCTAGACTAATACAATAATAATAAACGGATTGTTTTTTTTTTGTTTAGATCTAATGGAGATGCTATGCAACTACTGGAAGGATTCTTAAATGATTTTAACTAATGATATCTACAGTAACCATACATGAATTTGACTATAAGTTATTTATAATAAAATATTTTTTTTTGGCTTTTAGTTGTAAGTTAGTAGGTAGTTGCTAATAGAATTTATTGACTAATAAATTTATTGCGACGGTTGGAAGAACCGCACAGTGGCTGACGGTCACTGTACTCGTCTTCTATTGTTTCTGCTTCGGAGGAGTCCTCATCCCCATAGGCTTCTTGTAACTTTGTGTAGCTTTCGAAAATGGCCTGTGTTTGTCCTGTCAAGCTATCTTCGCTATCAGACGACACAGACCTCCATTGGCTGAAGTTCTCATAGCGGTCGCGTGGGATAAGCGATGGCGGCGTTGGACACTTTACATTAGTCACAACGCTTTCGAGTGACTGTCTCCGGGGCTGTAAGCCGCTGTAGGCGCTCTTTGAGGCGCCGCGAAAGGGACTGTCCACATCTTGACTGTGCAGGAGTTGGACTCTGCTGCTTATCGAGTCTTCAGACGCGGAACGCTCAGGCAAGAAGCTTGTCCTGAGCAGGGATCTTGCCTTTCGGCGGATAGGCGGCGGTGGACAGACCGGCCTTGGTGTGCCCGGTCGCGGAGGGTGCTCCTTGTTCTCCGGCGGTTGAATCACTTTATCGGCAGCCTTGCTGGTGGTCGGCGCTGGTGTCTCCTCGCTGATTCTCTGCCACCCTTTCTTTTCAGCATCAGTGTCCCGCTTCTTTCCCCACTTGCGGAAGGGAGACTTCTTCAGGAAGCGCGGGATCTTCACATAAATTGAATAGCGCATTGGCCAACGGTACTTGGTGGGCCTTGGTGGCGGTGACGGTGTACGGCGGCGGGGGATTGGGATGGTTGTGGATTTAACTAGAAGAGAAAACGTCGGTTTGAGTCCTACAACCGAACAACACAACGTAGAAGTAGATGCCAAGAAGAATTAAGCTCGCTCTATCCGAACCCTTACTTGAACGGTACTGGGAATCCCACGATGGATAAATAATAATATTTTTTTCTTAGGAACGTATTTATAGTGTTAACGGTTGTTAGTGCTAACGTGCCATAAATTTGCATTTAGATATATTTTCGTTTTTCTCGTGTACGTAGAACGAGAATGATTTTATATTTTTTATGTGAAACTGCCATTGGAGCATCGCAGTAAAATCGGTTGATTTGCCATCACGGCAAACGGCACAACGCTCTGACGCCATCAACCCCCCTCTACGCCGCTACTTTATGTGTGTGTCCGCATACATTTCACAGTTAGTGCCTTCTTTGAGTGAATTGTATACTATTTTTATCGGATATATTATATCACAGTATACTTAACACGTTTATTGCTTTTATAGACGTATTGTATTTTCTTTCTTGAGATCGAATGTGATTGCTTTTAAAGTAATTAAAAAAAACCTGTAGCACTCGGGGACTGCCGCTGTAAAGCTATTGCATAGCATTTTTATCAACTTATGCAATTATAATTATTTATTTATTTTTTGTATGAAGTTTTTTTTTCTTTGTTATTAATTCAAGTTTTATCTTTGATATTAATTCAAGTTACACTTTTTAAGCGTGGTGACCGATAAGAAAACAATTTTTTTTCTTTTATTTTCTTTTATTATCTTACAATACCTGCAGGTTATTCAGGAATTTTTATCTTTGAAGCTATAGGTTTATGGTAACTGAAATAAGAAATATAAGTTTGAGACTTGGTATCCTCTAAATATCATAACATCATATGATTATATAATGTTATAATATCATATTATAATATCCATCCGTGAGAGCTTCGTACAGTCTTACCATATAGGTACGTTAAGCGAACGCTCGGCCGAGCTACACGGTACGGTGTGGGGTGTTAGGTTTTATTTTCGTTACGGAATTTCTTGATTCGGTCCCTGCGCTCAAAGCTTGCGATAAAAGCTATGCAATAGCTTAAAAAATCGAATAAGTAAATTTTATATACATATAAAGGAATATTTTTATTATAAGTTCTGACACTAACTTAAATGTTTCACACTAACCGGGCGTCCCGTGACGGCCTATTTTTTTTAATTTGCGAAGTTGGAAAGCAAGCTAGCGGTTCACCTGATGTTAAGTGACAACCGCGTGCCCATGGACATTTGCAACACCCGTAGCCAGATGCGTTGCCACTTCAAATCACATGTTTTAATTATCACCGATTAGAAATGTGTTATAAATTTGCATTGCTCTAAAAGACCCATCAAAATCAGAATCATGAAAAGCAGATGTTTACGCTGAGAATATTAATTGCTGACTTATCACGTGCTCAGCGGTAAAGGAAAACATCGTGAGGAAATCTGCATATCTTCGAAATTATAAGAAAAAAAAATATATTTCGAAAATATGTGAAGTTCGCCAATCCGCAGTGGAGCCGCGTGGTGCACTAAACAATGTGTGGGGTTAATACTGTTGATACGTAGGCTAAAACAAGACTATTATACCTGTACTATTATATTGTAAACAGACCTTTTAAAAAAGAGCAACTGTTGAGTTTCTTGGCGGTTTCTTCTCAACAGAAACTGCTTTCCGAACCAGTGGTAACTTACGAATGTGTTAATTTTATTTGTAAAATTTTGATGTTTCATAAGAACGCGCAAGCGTCTATATGAATAAAGATATTTTATTATTATTATATTGGGGATATTTATTTGTTTTCTCGTCTGGTTGGGTTTATAGTTATTATTATAATTATTAATCCTCTGTACAGAGGAGGCCTTAGCCCAGCATTGGGACATGCAAGGCTGTTACCTATTTTTTTTTTTAAACTGTACTGTCAGCATGTTTCTTTCTTACGCCATCGCCACAACTATGGAGAATATTATAACTTTTATAGATACTTTAAACAATCAAGTGATTTTCGATTCATGGCGTGTGTGAAAATCACACAGAGCGAACCACTAAAGCCACAAACATACGGTTAGCTAATGTCAAAAATAGGCCTTTGTCAACATGTTTTAATATGACGTTTGTGCGGGCATAACAACACTATTTCTCCCAAAGGCAAATATTGGCGGTGTTGTATACCATACATGTTTCACTATATTATTGATATCGTATTTGATCCCACCGCATAACCGTGCGTTCGAGATGCTGCTCAATGTTTGCACGGATCTAGTGTAATGGAATTAATTAGCTAATGGTTTAATAACATTCGCAGACGGCGTGCGCTGTCAAAGAACTTTTGCGCAGTGTTTTTTGTGCCTCCGGCGCTAAGCTGTCCGGCTTTGCTTTTGCGTGGTAGTCTTTAATTATACTAAAACAATCTCTGTAAAGTTACCGGTGGCTTTTTGTACGGGGCGTTGGGATTGTTACCTTAAAATCACTGATTCAATTAAAAAAAAAAAAAACCGGGCAAGTGCGAGTCGGCCTCGCGCACGAAGGGTGTCTGTTATTAAATATTTTTAGTATTTGTTGCTAAAGTGGCAACAGAAATGCGTCAACTGTGAAAATTACAATTGTCTAACTATCATGCTTTATGAGATACAGCCTGGTGATAGACGGACAGACACACCGGACTAAGTAATAGGGTCCCGTTTTACTCTTAAAAAAACACATGGGCAAAATCGTCATCCTAGCATCTATTCAACCGACAACGAAAAGGAGGTTCTCGATTCGGTTGTATTTATTTTGTTTGTTCCCCTTCACAAACTCCTTAATTTATGACCCGGTTTTAAATATCCTTCTTTATTGGGTTCGTTGTAGCTCCCATTTGGTTCCATATCAAATTCGCTGGTGTAAGAACTTGGAATCTGTATAGTGAGTGAAATATTTGAAGTCACTTTTGTGTTTTGTTAAGAAAATATTGTGTATGAACAGAACTTTTAGTTCGGAGACAATATTCAGTTTAATTTCATAGCGACACCTGAGGATAAACGGTTTTTCTGGGTTTTCTATTACTTGATATCTTAAAAAAGTTTATAGATTTTCGACGGCATTTTTGTCTCGAATTTTAAATTTAAAATCCCGTAATTGTTTATAAAAAAGATAATTACTCAAAATTGTTGTTTATTGGTTCGATTTATCAGAAATAAAATAGATCTTTTGAAATTAAAATTAGTGTTTTGTGGTTTTAATTATTCATGATATAATTCATTTAAAAATAAAAAATAACATAGATATTCCATTTTTAAGTCTTCACTTCTGTCGGCACTCCCCATGACAGTTTTTTAGGGTTCTGTACGCAAAGGGTAAACGGGACCATATTACTGAGACTCCGCAGACTGTATATCTGTCCGTCTGTCACCAGGCTGTATCTCATCAACCGTGATAGTAAGACAGTTGAAATCGTCAGTTGTCATTTTTATAGATAAAAATTAATTGTTAAAAAACTTTTTAAAAACACGCCTTTATTTAAATGCCCTAAGAAAAAAATAATAATCTTCAAATTAAATCAAACCAATCAATAAGTAAATGTATTACACAATTTATTAAATGATATATAAGCTATAAATTTATATACTGTCTCATATTATATCAATATTGTATCATGTACTTAATTGATTGGTTTTCGTTTAATTTAATGTTTATTTTATTCTTTTACCGGCAATTAAATAAAAGCTTGTTTTTGTTTTTTTAACTTATAATTTATTTTTTTAGGCATATATTTAAAAATGTACGTTTCTGTTTTGTTAGAAGAAACAACGATGCAGTGTACATTTTTACATAATATCAAGGATATGTATATATCAGGGCTTGTCATGTCATATATTGGAGTAGTTTAGGTTCAGCATTAGTCAAACAGATAGGTTAGGTTCGTTAGGGGTACATTGTTTCCAAAACCAATTAAGAAAAAAATTAAATTAAAAAATTTCGAAAATGATTGACTCAAATTACACGTTATCAATTAGAAATTATTTAATAAGTTTGTTCTGTCGTCCAAGAACTTAGTAATATTGCTGATATAGCCTTATCTACGTAAGAAAACAAAAATAAAATAAAAGCAAAACAGAAAGATTTAATTATTTTGTAAAAGATTTTGGGAATCTAATAATAGCATGTTGGCTGTAATTAAATATTGCAAACATTTTGTTGTTAGTTATAGCACTAATTTATTTTATTAAGGGAAGTGAGAGGACGGGTCACCAGATGTTGAGCAATTAATGCCGCCCATCTACATCTGATGCAGATGCGTTGCCAACATTTTACAAATAGTTGTTCCCGGTTACGTCACTGGCCACCTTTCGCCTTTTTTGATGCCAAAGTACTTCTCCGGATTAGCCTACCCATCTCAACAGCCCAAACTGCTGACGGTCCCATAACAGTATTTTATTAATGGAAAATAATTTTTTTTTGCTTCGTCTTCCTTCTATTAATTATTTTTTATTGTAAAACAAGAAAAACAAGTTAAATCATAATCAAACATCCAACTTCCGTATGGTTTTACTATTTATATTTTTGTTTAATAATTTTAGTCAAGTCTCGATTTTACTAAGTATACACATTTTATTATTATTCATGGACACAATGCAACGAATTATTGGCTATATGATGTGAAGTTATTCTTCGTTTAACAAAATAAGTATAGTCTAACGCCCGGTTTCTGATACACTGATCATCGTAGAAGTCAACTAATCAGCTGTCAAATGGCTTTTCAAATGTTGTTTGAGTTTGCCAAAAGGATAGTTAAACTCTTTGAATGAAATCTGATTTAAGAAGATCATTCTAATCAATTCAGAAAATTTAACCATCCTTTTGGCAAACTTAAATAACACTTAAAAAGCCATTCGACAGCTGATTAGTTGACTTTTACGATGATCAATGTATCAGAACCCA